AAAAATCTGCAAGACTGGTCCATTCAGTTCTCCTGAAAGGCATCGAGCTTGGCACATTTTATATTCCACCGTTGACGTAGGGAATATTTGATGACACTTTGCTTGTAGTGCGAATGAAAAGAGAACAAGCAACAACGAATAACGCCTTCCGACTCGGTGATCCTTTTCATCCAAGACATTCGTGTTAATTCAACAGTTTCCTCAGGTCTTTGAACGCTTCTCCTATTCTCGAACGTGAATTAATTTCCTTCCTACGTCTATTTCATCTGGCAATATCGTAATTAGGCTGATAATTAAATTAAATTAAAACATTTTTTTCCTTCACTCCTATTGTGAAACTTGCACGCAATTGTGTAATTACGAGTTCCAGTAAATTAAAAGGGGTGTGTGGAAAAGTGGATATTAGGTGGTCGCGTTTAGCCAAGGAAAAATTATGTATCGATTTGGCGTCAATTTTCCGGGAATACAATTTTCCACGGTTCTCTCGCTAAATTAAAACTGAATTTTCTAGAGCAGTTAATTTCTTCTTATTAACACTTACGGAAGAATTTGCTCGCGTGTTTCAACCTTTTTCCTATACCAGCTGTTCGAAGTATATCTCGTAATCGTAATTCTATTACCTGATAACAATATACCGTGTCAAATTTTCCCGATATTAAATACTGTTTAACGAAATTACACCTTTTAACGTTACTCTAGATTTTATTCAAAGGTGATCTAGGAAACGGTACACTCGGCAATCGCTGATAAAGTGTCACCGTACACCTAACACTGTATTTTCCGTGGAAGAAAGGGGAAGTTTATAAATTTCACGTGATAGATGATGAAAAACTTCGAGGAAATGAATTTCGTCTGACTCACCAGACATTGAATACTTGGTTATTCGTTTGCACGTGTGCCAAGAGAGAGAGAGAGAGAACGGGCGGAATTGATTTACACGCTAGTTGGAGACTGGACGAGAAATTAAGAGATTTCTTTCCATGCGCAGCACGATGCCCTCAGATAGTATGGATGACATCGAACTGAAAAATATTCAGCTGCAATTTCCCGCGCTAAGATACCTATCGAGAGATGACAGTTCCGTGCGGGAGGAGAGAGTGGAGACGGATAAGGGAAGTCTGCTGGTGGCTGTGCAAGGGAATAGAGCGAAACCTGCCATTCTCACTTATCACGACTTAGGCCTTAACTGTGAGTAATCTGCTGTCAAACCTCCCAAAGTATATTTAGTTGCGTTAAGCGATAGAGAGAAACGAAGAAAAGTGTAGGAAGAGATACGAGGAAGTTGGAAAGTTTTGGATGTAAGCGTTGATAGTCTTCCGATGGTGTGAATTATAAAGAGAGGTGTTGCTGATTGTTCTCAGATATATCGAGCTTCCAGGCGTTCTTCAATTACATCGACATGCGAGTTTTACTCGAAAACTTCTGCGTTTATCACGTGAATGCACCGGGTCAGGAGGAAGGTGCACCTACGCTGCCTGAGGAGTGAGTATACTTTGCTTTTCCGATGTTTAACATTTTTTGAAAATTATTCGCTAACACAGTAATTCGTGTAAAATATCGACTTCGCTCTTTTTTATATCCGATCTAATATGAGAACATTTCAAAGTGATAATCACCGATTTTGATGAAACTTTGGCATATTATAGCACTCAAAAGAATATTTGACACGTATTTTTTTTTATTGGCAATTGTCCACAGTGAAAGGAGTGAAAATTGGAAAATTACCCTAAAAAATGAGGATAATAAACATATCTTGTCAAAATTATTTATTTTTCATTTTTCAAATATATTGTTGAAAAATACAAAATTTAATTAGTAGTTTTCGAGATATTAGACTAAATATATTTATATACTTCCTGCAACTTTCAAGGCGATTTTCACGCTGTCGATGTAAAAATGTACTTGTCGAATATTCTTTTGAGAAGTACTGTATACCAAAATTTCGTCAAAATTGGTAATTATCAGTTGCAGATGTTCCCTCGTAAGTAATCAAACGTGTTCTCCATACAGCGGATGTATGAAAAATCGATAAGCAACCGGTTCGAAATGTCGCTCAGTCTCCCATTATGCAGTCTCCGTTGATATTGAATAACGAGTTTGCTAATTAACACGATACAGAGAGAAGAAAAAGCGAAAGAAAATGATGGATCCGACGAAAGATCCCATACGTGCGCGTACATTTAGATCTCGTTCAAGAGCACAACCGTGCACATACGTCACTTCACGACACTGAATTCAATTAGTGCGAATCAATGACCTAATTAACGTTCTAATTAGTCGAAGCCCCGAGTATGTCCCGCTTTCACGTTTACCACGGATCATTCCGCGCGCGTCTTAAGAGCGATTCTCTCTCCTTTGCCTCATGCCCGCCAACTTCTTTCCTGCCCTTTTCCCTCTATCGTCGTTTGCATTTATACGGATTCGATCTTACCGGCTGTTGCGCAATCCCTTTCCCGATATCCAATCTCTCATGAAATCAGGGAAATGGCATTCTGCTCGCGAGCCCCTCCGAGATTGTTTGTCCTCCAAACCGTCCATCTGCTTCTTCTTTCGATAAATTGAAAATCAAGTTACTCGATAGAGAGTCCCTTCTTCAATTTTCTCTCTCTTCAATTTAAACTGAGAAGAAAAGTACTTTATACCGTTTAGCTTGGGGAGATCGGTAACGTTTCGGCTAGAAGTTCGCACGAATGACACGCGTGGAAGAAAAAAATGTAAAGTTTCACGAGGCAATGATAGAGGATCGTCTTTGGTTTAAACTAAGAAGAAAAGTATTTTATACCGTTTAGCTTGGAGAGATCGGTAATGTTTCGGTAGAGAACACGCGTGGAGGAAAGAATGTCAAGTTTCACGAGGCAATGATAGAGGATCGTTTACACTTACGCGGTTGAATTAGAAGATTGACGGTGGCTACCTACGACATCCTATTAAGCTGACCTCAAACAATCACAGACTCACCTCGACGGACGTGCACGTCGCTAAACAGAGTGTTACGGAATAATTTAGACTGCAATGCAGGTTTTCATGCAACTCGACGACCGCCGATCGCCAGAGTACGGAACTATTTTCGTTCGCGTGCCAAATCCGTGAAATTTCTTCGCGAGTGAACTTTTCGAATATACTTCCGTTCGATCGATATGGATTCTCACCGGTTGACACTCGAGTTATTTCGTTGCACATCGACGCCGGTTTATACCGTTGGCTATTTATACGTTTGATCAACCAGACGGCTGACGGGAAACTAACAAGCGCGTTTAATCGTGAATTTGAAATTCCCGCTTTGGAGATCATACGAATCCGTAACATGTATATTTATGATCGTGGAGGGGAGCGAAAGATAAATTCGTAACAGCGTGGCTTTAATCAACGAGTAGTTCTAGCTAGATGGTGTAGATATAAAATTGATAGTAACCCGGGTTTATTACCTGCCGGGTAGTTTGTGTTGAGGGAAACGTAAATCGCTTTATCATCATGGGGAACATACATTTCATCTGTTGGATAGGTCGATAAATATTGGTACACGATAATTGGCAAAGCTGACTGGAAAATTGCCGGGTGTGTGCGCTGCGGATTCTAGCTCAAAATTGTGCGTTGAAATACGCGGTGTTTGGCTTCGAAAACGTAGTTTAAACGGCAAGTTTGGAAAAAAATCTGTCGATCGCCGTCAGTGTCTTCTTTTCACTGTTTAGAAGATTGATATCAAGGATATTTCAATATTTCTCCAATTAATTATTCGAAATTATAATCACAGCTTTTCTTTACAAAAGACTACATTATTTGCCAAATATTTCCAAAATTTCCTACCAATATTCCCAGTATTTTTTGACTTTTGAAAAAAAGTCTGTCAATCAGTCTTTTTTTCACTACTTAGAATATTGATATCAAAGATATTTTCATGTTTCCATCCTAGTTTTTCCTTAAGAATAAAACACTACATTTGTTACCAAACATTTCCCTAATTTCCAATATTTTCCATCACAGCTTTCACCGTTTATCATGCACACGTGTAACGTTGAATTGGTAACACGTTCGATATATAAATTGTCACGGAGACAAAAGTATTATCAGAGCGTTAAATTAGCCACTAAATCGGTATACCGTGTTTTCCAGCTACGTCTATCCGTCCATGGACGAGCTGGCAGAACAGATGCTGTTCGTTCTGGGCCATTTTGGCCTGAAATCCGTAATCGGTTTTGGAGTCGGCGCCGGAGCTAACATACTGGCGAGATTCGCACTTGCTCATCCTGAGAAGGTCAATGCCCTCTGCTTGATAAACTGTGTATCGACGCAGGCAGGTTGGATCGAGTGGGGCTATCAGAAGCTGAACGTTCGTCACCTGAGATCCCAGGGAATGACTCAAGGTGTATTGGACTATTTGATGTGGCATCACTTTGGCAGGGTGAGGAAACGAATTTATTTACATACACTGGGCACACGAAGTATTTGCACATATCTTGTTATTTTTGTGAATTTTTGCATTGCAACTTTTAAATATTGTTTTCATTACATTATTAATAGCCAATTTTTCTGTGATAATTATTAATTCTTGCTTCTCCTGTTAAAAAATAAAAATTGTGATCAACAGTAATTTGTCTTGTTAAAAAATTGGGTTGTAGAGGGTTAAAATCTGAGGCTTGAAATGGTGAAATATTTAGTATATTTGTATTTAACCATGATTTTATAAAGATCCTTGAATCTAACAGGCACTTGTAGATAGTCAGATTTGAACTGCAGAAATGACAAGATAAAAGTGACAATGTGCAAATACTTTTCGTACCTATTAAACACTGTTGGCCAAAAATTTGGAAACTTTAAATAAAGTGAGTAAAAATTCCGAAAAAATTGCAAAATTCTAGCTAGCAATATATTACAAGCTTAAGAGTGTACAACCGATGTATCAACTGAAACGCATAATTGCGATATGCTTTTAAAGTACTGCTTTCGTAACAGCGAAGCAGCAAAGAGATCGATTAAATGAAGAGGCGTCGGTGATTGCAATTTATATCGCAAAGTAGCTCGACGTGTATACATATATGTATATACATCTATATACATAAAGAAGCAGGCAACAGCCTCGATGACCCACAAAGTTTTATCGAGGCAGGTTAGTTTAAGCAACGTTCACACGGTAACGTTAGACCAATAAATTATCGACGACGGAGCCAAGTCTGGGCAAAGGCTTATACCGTCGATGTGTTTCCATGCAACGTGGAAAATTGGATTACGGCATCAGCAGCAATTCTGCCACTCTTATTATGCAACACGTAGCTCCTTAATAGAGTTACCGCATACAGGCTATAAAAACAGCGAAAGCCAAGAGGGGTTGTACGGTGTAAACATCGTTCGACACGGACAGAGTAAAAGAAGTGTAATTTTTCGACGAAGGACAAAAGAGCCGCGCGCTTGCTTTCACCCTTCCTTTTTGCCGCTCTTTCACTTTTAATTTTTTTTTCTCTCTCTCCCCCCTCGCTCGACACCAATGATGGCTCGCCTTGACGGTTATTTTGCCCTTGTCCGGTGACCACAAAAAAATTGATTCGTAATATGGAACCGTGATCCTCGAGGCCTTGAAATTCTTCCATTCTCCGGGGACGTTGCGGTCGATGGAAAAATTTCGATCAGCTGGATCGTGGACTCGGATGTAGTTTTAAAGTACAGGTAACCTGGTATAACACGCTTTGAAAATTGCGGGAACGTGGATTCTTGATTTTGAAATATTAAAATATTATATGTTTCAGTGTTAAAATATTAAAATATTATATATCTCAGTATTTCAATATTAAAATATTACAACAAATCCTTGAATAGAATTTTTACGGTATTTTACTCTGGATATCATGAATTCTTAAATTATTAAAAATTTGCAAAAATTCTCTTCTCTTATCTTTTGGAATCTCTAATTTTTGATTACGTTTCGGTATACATTATACGATAAAATTTAATTTAACACGGTTTCCATACAACGCGATACGAATTTTCGTGCTATACAATGGTTGCCACTGTAACAACGAAATGTGTAATTTGGGTAAATAGAAGCTGTAGGATAATTTGCAGTAGGTTAATCTTTAGTAGGATATCTGCATCGAAGTTACTGCATTTTATCAACCCTCTAAATTAGAGCTACTGTAATTTAGTACCTTACAATTATCGTAATTAAATGTCCTGTAATTCGAAGCAGCAAAGGTGGAAGAAAACAGTATTTGGAAAAACGTGTATTTCAGGGCACGGAGGAGAGGAATCACGACCTCGTTCAGGTGTACAAGAACTACTTCGAGCGTCGCGTGAATCCAACGAATTTAGCTCTACTCATCGACAGCTACGTCCGCCGTACAGATCTGAACATCACGAGGGAATTAGACCCAACGCGTAAGAAGGAAGGTCTCACTCTCGTTGTACCTGTCATGAATATTACCGGAGCACTAAGCCCACACGTCGATGACACCGTCACGTTAAACGGCCGATTAGATCCTACGAACAGCTCTTGGATGAAGGTACGAGCCTCTTGCAACATTAACCACCCTCTGTGCCAAGGGGATGTACACATTTGGTACCGTTTAACTCCTCGGGGAAGGACTTCATCGCGAAATACGCGACAATGCTCTTAATTAACAATTGCTTTTTCGTGGAATCGTTAAAATTAATTAGATAATCTTCTCAAAATTTCACGTATCGTCGATAATTTAAAGAAATTAGTAAACGAACGTGTAAACTAATACACTTTAATTGAGATGAATTAAAATTACTGCAAATTTTCTGTTTGAAATAGTAAACATTAGGAAATTTGATAATGATGTTTAGCTGAATTAGAGTGTTAGCGTACTTGTGATGTTAATTTTTATGGTAATGTTAGATAGTGAGATTGTGCATATCAGTGGTATGGTTAATTAGACAGTGAAGATTGACGGAATCGATTTAATCGGCAGATTTCTGACTGCGGAATGGTGCTGGAGGAACAGCCGGGCAAAGTAAGCGAGGCCTTCCGACTATTTCTGCAGGGCGAAGGATATGGTAAGTGAGCGTCCTGGCGAACTACGCTTTAGACATTAATTATCAGATTGTCAAACGATTATTCTCATCGATCTTCATCGGTATAAACGAATCTCGCTCGCGCCATACTGTTTCGTGACAGAGCACACGACCGTCTGGTAAAAGCCAATTAATTCATTCGAATTGATCCGAAAGAATAAAAAAAATAATCAAAGAAAGAACAAATATTCGAAACAATAACCCCTCTCGTTCATACAGTCAGCGTGCATGGAATAGCTGAAGACACAATTTGACCAATTAACGTTTCAAACAATGGTTCAGGTGTTAATGGTCACAGGAAAAGACGCTCACGTGCTCTCTTGCGCAACGAACACGAAGAAACGAAAACGCCAAGTGTCGTAGATCGCGGATTATTCGTAGGCTTAAGTTCGTTCTGTCGAGTCGCTGACATTCGACGAGTATCGGTATTTTGGCCTATATATATAATACTTTGAATCGACGCCAGCATACACATACTACGCGTTTGTCTACGTTTTAAACGAAAAAGAAAGTATCATTTCACGGCTAGCTGCTGATCGAACGTCGTTTATTAATTTCCCACCGTGTGTTCGTTTTCTTACCGCAATTCGTCGGTGTACCTGCGATAACAGAGAGTGACGCTTGTAAATTTTAAGTCATCTTCCTCCCCTCAAAAGAAAAGAAAAAGAAAAAAAAAACCACACTTTGCCTTCGAAACTCGCTAGACGTGCGACGAGTCCGGTTTTAAGCTGCAATATTAGCTGTAGCGAGAGCAAAACGTTGTTTCTGCCATCCCACCTCATTAAAATAGAAACGATTTTATTGCAAACACTCTCTCTCTCTCTATTTCTCTCTTTCTGTCTCTTTTTCCTCCCCTCTCTGTCCCCCCTCTTTGACGTTGGCGTTTATCTGTCGTGCAATCGTGCTCGAAATAACTTGACGTTCGCCAATTTATTCATTTGCTGTTTACATCCTGAAAATACTCTTTATCATTCTTCTTTTTTTTTGGTCGTTTCATGAATTACGCATTGTACGAACCGCGCGAGCAACGAATTTTTAATTAAGCTCCTTTGAAATTGACTTAACGCTAGCCCCCCGCGACTATTTGAAGTTTCTTATTCTTTTTGGCTTCTTGGTCACAAATAAACACGATAGCACTTATCACATAACACAACGCTTTAACCCACTATCGCCCAGTTGATAGTAGAAAAGCAAGAAAAAAATGAAAAGAAGGCAAGGAAGGAAGCGGTTTATCGCGCGACACAACACATTGTATATTCGCCTTATTCCTCCTCAAACTATTTGTCGATCATCTCACTATCTCTTCTCTCCTCTCTCTCTCTCTCTCTCTCTGTCCATCGAGCTCGCATTTAAGAGACAATGAATTTATTACACTTGTTTTACGTGGTAGATGATAACTGTCTATGCGACGCAATATTTAGCCAAGTACACCCAAGTTGTTCTAATTAAATTAATTGTTCCTATCGTGATGATTATCGTTAAATTAATTGTTGTTGTTACGATCGTCTCTGTTATATGAATAGAGTTTTCATGTTGTACGAATGGCGCGATGCCAAGATGTTGTTAACGCTTAATGCATTAAGGATCTCTTTCGAATATTAAAAAAAGAAAGGAAAAGAAAAACAAAGCAAGTCAAATATCTTTCGATTTGATTAATTTTTTTTTCTTTTTTTTCCTCTCTGTCTCTCTTTGGCTACGAAACGATATATCTCACACCTTTGCATCCTTGCTACATCGAGACTTAACAACGTCTTCGATCATGTGTACTCTCCCTCGTTGGAAAGCCACTGGCTCGACTTGATAAATAAAAAGAGGTTTGAAAAAGGATTAACATTGAATTCATCACTTTAAGTCTCACCACCATTTGTCACATTTATTTGAGAGCTTGGTTTTCGAAACCGAGACCAACCGAACCACAAAAAAAAAAAAAAAATAAGAAAAAGAAAACAGAATAAAAAAAGAACCATGATTATCAAAGGCAAATGAGAAAAAAAATACATGTTCACCGACTTGCGCCTTTATTTCCCACGCGTCTCGGATCGATCGAGTGGTACGTATATGTTAATACCTTAGTGCTCAGCTGAAGTAGCTCAGTAAAAGTAGTGTCGGCTTTTTGGCTATTTTCTTTTGCTTCTGTCAATTACCGCCAAACGCTGAGGACCACGCTATCATTTCAAGTAGTTTAGACCAGAGGTTACTACCTTAGACGTGTCTTGTCCTGAAAGTTCGTTCACCACTGTCGGACGAATTTTGTAACACGCTTTCGCTGTTCCAATTGCTTTGTAAACAAAACCCTGAACGTAGGCTGTTAGACACATCCGGTATAGAACGATCTATTCGAAAAGATTTATAACGAATAGAATGAACAATTCGAACGAAACCAGTTCGATCTTTGTTGCGCAAACTGGGGAAACCAACAGCGGAAGCGTTTCAACGAGACTCACGTCCATTTCATTCCAAAGTACCAAAAACGATTGACCATTTTTTCTCTCTTGCACGAAACCGGAGGACATGAACATGGACAACAGTCACGAGATAGCGAAATTCTGCTTAATTTTTTCTTCTTTTATGTCAACCCTTTTCTTTCGTTTTTTTTTTTCTCTGGTTTCTTACTGATTTACACGACAAACGGCCTAGCGATGCATCGCACCCAAGAGAATGATATTTGTTCGATGAGAAAAGACGAAGTTAAAAAAAGAGAACTCTGTTCGCTACGGCTACCGCTACCTCGTTCACGATCTCTGTTATGACATTTCTCTCCCCCCCTTCAGTGTGTTAAAAGAGAATTTGTTTTTTTTTCTGCGTTTTAGTGGTGAGATCCCCGCGGAAGCCCGTGACGCCGACAACACCCGAAGGTAATTGTAATTAGGAATTGAAGGCCGCAAGGAGTCAAGCGCGCAGTTGGTCGGTTAGGCCACGTCTATGTGTTAAGTAAGTCGGAATTCAAACTTTTATCGGGAGGTATTTAAACCGACAATGATGTATCACGACTAAACAAACGTCTTGTCTATCGACAACTTCCGGGATTTTCTCTTTAACTCTCTTTCTCTCTCTCTCTCTCTCTCTCTCTCTTTCTGTCTTTCTCTGTGTGCCTATAACTCTGTGTGAAGGATTATTAACTACTGTTCCTTCTCCTTTTTCTTCTTTTTTTTTTGTAATTTTTTTCTCTCTCTGAATACTAATCAATTCTTTCGAACTGCGGATTGTCGTGGATTTATCTCTTCGGACTTACTAAACTCTCGTGCACTTCATGTGATTGTTTAGATACATCTTAGAATTACCTCTCGCTGTTATTTTGTATACAATGGAAGTATGAATTTTTTCTTTTTGTGTAATAAAATTTCTGACTATTACTGTTTGACGATTATCATGGAATGCATTTGATAAATTTAGTCACAGCGAGAGGATTAGTCTCACGTGTTCGATATACTGCATTTGCATACTCATACATTTGTTTAAACTAACTTTTTTGTTCAATGAATTTCTCGAATATCTTCACTACGATGAGGATTCATTTACTAGGATCATGGTAAAGTTTTATCGACTGAGTCTCCCCTCCCTATTATTTGTTCTTATCGGTAGCTGGTACGATATAGACTTATCAATCGACGATAAATCAGACATCTTCCTAGAAACCTTTCTGTTTGCTTCCACGTAGAAATCAATTTTCATTTAACGAAAGTATTGTTATTATTATTATTATACATTTTATATATATATATGTTGT